TGCAGTTGAAAAACCAAAAATGGAAACCACCAATGAACTAGAGGGAGGAGATAGCTTAGAGACATGGATTCCCAAAGAATAACACAACCTGGCTGAAGTCTTTAGCTAGAAGGAGTCTGACACGCTTCCACCCCAATGCCCCACAGACTGTAAAATTGAAATTGTGCCTGTGGCCAAGTTACCAAAGCCAGAGCTATATTTGATGACACGCAGGGAGATGGAGAAGCTCTATATTTTCATAGACAAAAATTTAACCCGGGGCTTCATTCAGCTGGCCAAGTTGAGGATGGCAGCCCCTGTTGTATGAAAAAAGGATGTGTCTTTTAGGCTATGCATTGACTATAGAGAGAGCTAAATAGAGAGCTAAACTGTATATTTGTGGAAAATATGTACCTCCTCCCATTGATGAAGGACATGCTGGGGCATCTCCAAAGAGGAGGATCTTCACAAAGCTGGACTTGAAGGACGCATACTATCAAGTGAGAATTAAGGAAGGAGATGCATGAAAAATTACATTTAACTGTCCTCTGGGCTGCTACCAGTTTCAAGTTATGCCATTGGACTGCAGAGGCCTCTAGCAGTGAGTTCCTGAGTTTCTTAGTATCTTAGTTCTGCCCATCAGTCTCAAATGAATGGAGCCTGTGAATGCATGAATGCAGTCTTGGAGCAATACCTTCAATGCTGCTTGAAATACCAACATGTTAAGGTATTGGAGATTTTAACAGCTGATCAGCTATTGTAAGGCTGCTGTAAATTCTGATGCAATGAGAATGAGACAGCAGGGTATTGTGGCTTTAAGACTGAGGTTGGGTCAGCAAGGTTATTTCCACTATCCGTGATGGTGAACCTATGGCACGCAGAGCCATTTCCACCGGCACGTGAGAGCTCGCCCAGAAGAGCCCCACTGTGAATGTGCACGCACCACTGCCACCCGACAGCTGATTGTCAAATATCTGGCAGGCATGTGCGGGGGGCAGGGGTGCATGGGAAATATGTGTGCATGCACAGATGCACAGCACATGCTGGGGGGTTGTGCGTGCATGTGCAGATGGATGGTGCATGGTGGGGAATCGCACACGCAGGTGCAGAGATACATGGCACGCAGTGGGGCAATTGCATGCACATGTGCAGGCGTGCAGCAAGGGGGTCGTGCATGCATGTGCAGATGTGTGGTGCACAGCAAGGGAATCACACACACATGCGCATCAAAGGCTAGCAGGAAGGAGGTGGGAGAAGGAGGAGAAATGAGCAATAAATAGGGAGGGAGGATGACAGCTTGACAAAGACGAGGGAAGCACAGAACCAGTTGATGCCAGCTCTCAAAGCCAAGTGCCCTGAGACTGGAATGTGGACTACCCCAAACATCTCAAAAAACCTACGTGGCTCTTCATTGGCTGAACATAAACTGGTCATGAGAGGAGGGTTGGGAGAAGGGGAAAAATGTATCTGATAACAGATAATCAGTATTGGAAGGGACCTTGTAGGTGATCTAATCCAACCCTCCACTCAAGCGGGAGACCCTACACCATTTCTGACAAATGGCAGTCCAATCTCTTCTTGAAAGTCTCAAGTGATGATGCTCCCACAACTTCCGAGGGCAAGCTGTTCCATTGGTTGACTGGCCTGACTTTACTGCAATCAGCAGATTTTAGTAAAAGAACCTATCACTTCACCCACACGGAGTTGATTTCTTTAATAAGAGACCTGATTGGGGCAGGTTTGACAAAAGCACTTTAGGGCACTAATTTTATTCTGTGTAATTTTATTTCTGAACAAAAACTATTAATAAACCAATAGAACTAAGATTCAGTATTGGGCCTTACATTATCATCAAATTCACAAATGGGAAGTAAATGTGATTCAAATTGAACAGATGTGTAGCTATAAATATTTTGGAGTGTAGTTCTGTGTTTTTCTGTTCTGGAATACTCTTTTTTTTCTTTGCTGAACAAGTGTTGCATAGGATACTTCCAGAACTATTGTAAGATTTTATCACTTAAAAGGAACCCATTACATCCCTGGCTCAACCTCTTTATGGTTTGTTTGTTTTGGCAAAGGTTCATATTCTTGAAACTATTCAAAATAAGTTTATTCAAGCCATGCTGTTGATTCCCAAAATGCCATCTTACATATAGAGACAGGTATAGTCTCATTGGACACTACCGCATGGTTTTTCATTACTTTCTGGCTAAAGTTACTCCTTCTTCCTATAGATTTGGCTCCATTGGTATTTAGAGATCATTTTAAATCAGCATGATTTCAAAAAGTGCTACATAAAAATCATTCAATGGATTTCTCTATGGAAAATTCTGTTCCCAGAAGTTTTGATAAACTGCTCTGAAACAACAAATTCGGGATATAGATTTCAAACAAATTCAAGCAACCTCCTATTTATCATCCATTATGATTCTAAAATTTTGTCAGGTCTTCACTTTAGCAGGCTGGGTGCATTGCCCTAAACAGTCCTTTTGATCTTTTAAAGATACCTGTGTACCTTCAGTTATGTCCATGTAGTGATGGCTCAATAGAAACTCATATTACTATGCTGCTCCTTATATAAGAACTCTAAGCAGATTTTTACTTAATGTTACTTATTTCAGACAAGAATATCTTTCCAAGTAAAAAAACCTACAACATTATGTTTTCATTTTATTTTATTTCAATCTGTTCTTAATTATTCATATATCCTGTTATATTTATTCTGTTTCATATTCTACTATTATATATTTTATTGTATCTGGACTTAGGACTGTAATTAACTGATTTCATTTGTTACCATGTTTACTATGTTTGTGTTTCTATGTACAAGTCTGCAGAAGTGCTATTGAATATTTTTTTAAAACTTAGAACAGAAAATGATTATAAAGATGTAATGTGATATATATTACGAGAGGAAGACAACTAGGCCCTAAAGTTGGTGTAGGCCTCTGCTTAATTGAAGGTCTCAAATTAACAATATATAATAACTGCTGGCTGAGCTGATTTTGCAACCATGGCGAAACAAAATTTTGCAAGCTTCGCAATATGTTACTATCTGCTACTTCTGAAAAAAGTATATATCTGCTGGACAATCAAAAATAGAGCTATTTTGGATCACAAATGTCTGGGACATTGAGAAAAGGGGGAACTGAAAGTAGCATGTGGTAAGTGAGTTGGCAAAGAGTTGGCATATACCTACAAGTGGGTATTAAGTGATGGACAGTATGTGGGAATAGGGAAGTACATCCAGTAAGATTATATACCATTGGGTGGGCTTCAGAAGAAGAGGGATATAAAAGAAGAGGGTAAATCTGAAATCGGGGCCACTGATAGTAGCTATCCTTTCTGGAGTTAGCTGCTATCTCTGAACCTCATTGCAATGGGTTGTTATTAGTAAGTATTATCTTACTAGAAACGTTATTATGTTATGATGGCTTTTCATGTTCCAAATTGCTCATGAAATAAACCTCTGATCTCAAAGTAAGATTTATTGCTTGTGGTTTGAGCAAGTTTTCAGAAGTGGCTTGCCTTTGCTTGCTTCTTAGGGCTGGCGGAAAGAGAGCCAAGGTCACTAAACTGGTTTCATCCTTAAGAGAGAACCATAACTCACAGTCTCCTAATTTCTAGCCTGGTGCCTTAATCACTGTATATAAGTAGCTATATGATATATTGTACATTTATATTAGAAAGAAGAGAATTGAGCCTATATTTTGTAAAGTTTAGTAGTTATAAGAGCCTTGGAATTTTTGTGTAATGGTATGTTTTCTGTTGCCTTTTCAGATTCCAATCAAATATAGGATTCATTTTAATGGTAAAAATACTGATGGCTTGAAAAAAAATAAAGTAGAGCATAATTACATATTGCCCTTAAAAATAATGAAGGATATTTAATGCATATATGTGATAATATGTATTCATAAAGAAAGTGGGTAGGGAGAGAGGAAGAAAGGAGTAATGTTACATTCAAAATATAATGACAAATAAATACAAATTTCAGATGGTCCTTGAATTATGACCATAATGGAACCTTTACTTTCCATAATGGAAATAAATGCCAGTTGTTGGCAAAAAAAAATTGTAAAATGTGTCATGTGACTATGGAGGCGGTGTTGGAACTTTGGAACTGGGATATAAGTATCTTTTGAAGATCCACAGTAACTTCAGACGTCAGTAAGCAACTGGTCATAAATCAAAGATTACCAGTATAAACCATTTTGTCCCATGATAACATGCACTAGAAAATAATGCTATTTAAATATCACCATAGAAGTAATATACATTGCTGAAATTAAGTAGAAACAACATTGAGAAAATGAGGGTTAAATCCTAATAAGAGAACAAGCTATATAAATATACACACATATCTAAATTTGATAGAAGTAGGACTGCAGTTTTCTGCATTTTTATATCTCATAAATTTGGAATGACTTTTTAAAGTGAAAATTGGTTTTAAAGAAAACAATTAGGCAGAATAACTTGAGCAAAATTTTCCTCTAGAATAACTAACATTATTATCCCATTCCTAAAGCATTCTATACTTCACATATGCATACAGAGGTAACATAAGTTACAAGAAAGAATGCTATTATATCTTAAAACTAGCAAATTGTGCTACGTATTAAAGACTAATAGACCTAACACAAAGCTTTGTCAACTGTAAAGAATGACCCTGGTAGATATCTAAATTTCATGATATATGATTTATTCTGGACAACTTCCTTTATGAAAATTCTGCTAGTCAATGGATCTATTCACATATGAAACAGTCATAACCAGAAGCCATTGGAAATGCTACATGATAAATATTCCATTTAATTTAAGCTTGGCTGAACTGCCTACATTGTCTCTTAATGTAACATCTATAAAAGTTCATTGTGAATACTTGGTACCAATCTCATTAGCAATAAAATTACACTCTGTTTCAGTGGTGAAAACCTGAGACATATGCATAGAAATGAAGGGTTGTACATACTGTAATATGGAACAATGAATATTATATATAAAAAAATATAAAGACTTACGTTGACATTCCTTGCAGCACTTGTCATCTACATATGCAGGTGCAGAATTAGGAAGACAATCAGGAAGTGGGCAAATCAATGTTTCACACTGGATAGTACCATTCTAAAAAACAAAAGCTTATTTTAAAAACCATTGCCAGAACCTAGTCTATTAATTTTCCAAATAAATAAAACTGGGTAGTTGAAGACATGAATTCTTTAAAACATATCATGTCTTATATAACAGTAATTATGAAGGAGAAACACATTATGTAAGATGATTTAGATTTCTGATAAACCATTTCAATTATTCCTAAAGATGTTCCAAATCCTGTCATTATCAATCAAGATGTTGTATTATACTGTAATTTGAAGATTATTGACTATTATGTTTCAGTATGATTTTTCAAAAATCAAAGTCTTTCAAATTATGGTGTAACTTTCACAGATCAATTATTATATCTATCTTATCTACTTTTGCATCTCTGTTTTTGAATTTCTCTACTTCGTTCTTAAACCAATAAGGAATAAGTGTGCAGCTATAAAGCATCTTTTTAGATAAGAAGTCAACTAATAATTTGAAAAGATAAAATACCATCTCCAAAATGTAAATCTCTTGGAGAAAAGCAATAGAACAGAATGTAGATGAAAGTAGCCAGCCTCACTAATGGAATGTTTTAGTAACATCATTGTGTAAATTTATTTGAAAAAACCCTGTTCTTAAATGATTAATAATAACTGCATAGTTCTGATAAAATCAAATGTAATGAGCCAGCTTCCTAACATAGTGAATACGGTATGTTCTACATGAACAATTAATATTCTTTACAACACTGACACTGTTTCACTAACTCAAGGTAGAAAATCCCAATAATAGATGAATATCTCATGAATATCTCATTGTGGTTAACATGTTTTAAACCAAAGACACATAAATGCAGCTACATTTCCTACAGCATGAAATATAATTGTGAACTGATCCTAAAGCCAACTGCTATTTTCAGTTCCACTGAAATGAATTAAATTTATTACACTTATCTCTTTGCTTTATTAACCTTTCATTCAACATTCTATAAGATTTAGCCATATTTTAATATATTATGACCACAGATCGTATTATTCATTGTAACAGAGAGGATCAGGCTATTTCCTCAGGCATTTGGTTTAGAATGAGTTCCCTTCTGGTGACATTTAACAAATTTGGGTCCCTGTTGACTTTTTAATAGTTATACCTTCCTTGTACCTAGTATTGTTATTTTGTCTTATTTTTGTTATTGGTTCTTTCAGTGCTACCCAAGTCATGCTGTGAATTTGGAACACATATAAAATCTATTACTAAACAAACATCAACCACAGGGCAAACAGGGCAAACAGGCTGGAAGGGCAATACTTTTGCTTATCCTGATATTTCCCAACATTAGAATGTTATTGACACTTACAGCTCTGTTTCATCAAAAGTATTTTAAAAGAGAAAGTGCAACTTATATTATAATGTTAATTTTTTTTTTAAATATATACAGATTTATTTTGTTGTAGAAAACAAGACAGTATGATTTTATAATACTGGTAGGCCTAATTATGGATTCTGCAATTTTTTATGGACACTATGATTTCTTTGCTTTTAAGTGATTTGGTCTGATAATTATTTTTAATCAAAATCCATAAATATTTTAATACATAATTAGGTCCTTGAATTTTTGTAAGTTTACACTCATACCAGGCAAGTGCAGTTCTTACAGCCATCTGTCCAAGATTCAAATTCTCTGTAACTGATGCCTTTCATAGTGCAGGTTCTTTCACAATAGCACTGATCCAACTTAGTCATCCTCTGCTCAGCTCGGGACAGCTAGGTAGATGTTTCACAGAAAGAGATTTGTTAAGTACAGAAAGATTTGCCCTCACAAATTAAGCTCACTATGTAATACATCTCAATCAGCAGAAGAATATTGCTAAATGTGAAAACAGAAATGCTAAAAACAAATCATATATTCATTTATTGAATCAATCGTATTTTAAATAAACACTGGTATTAAAAATGTCATGTCGTTTATCAATTTAAACTAATAGCAACCATGTTACTACAGTGTAAGTAAATTACCCGATACTTCCAATGAACAAACGTAATAAGAATTACTTATTTTTTAAAAAATATGATTGGTTACAATCCTGAAGCAAAAATATTTTTTAACATTTTGGAACCTTAAATTAAATAAAATTTCTATGTAAAGAATCCTTACTTAATATATTAAGAAATACTAAGTAGTTGTATGGAAAGAAGCTTTACTTAGATTTTCAATAATCTTAGACTTGCATAAAAACTTCAAATCAATTAAGTGAAAAAAGTTAGTTTTATTCAGCTCGCTAAAAGCTTCTGAAGAGCTTATTACCTTTGCAGATGTTTTGGCTAAAATATCCTGCAGCTCCATTATTTTCTGCACAAGACCATGGAAGTCATTACACGTTGGGCATGCTGAAATTACAAATACTGCATTGATCTCATTGCAATTACTTTAAGCAAAAAATTGCAATCTTATAATAAGAAAGCCAACTGAATTTAATACGAATAGCAATTCATAAGATTGTCTTTTCAGTCTAGCAAGTTGCATTGAACAGCAATACATTTTAAGAACCAATCAGTATATAAAAAATTAAACAATCCATCATACTGGATATTATGGCATAAAAAGTAGAGGACTTACTGCGATTAAGATCTGGGCACTGAGAGATAAATCCTTGAGGCATGATAAGAAATTGCACATCTTGCATTATGCCCTGTAGCAAAGTGATACAAGAAATTTTATATTCCTGGCAATAAAATATCCCAAATTTCTATATAAAACTGTCATAGTTTTAGTATACTTTTTTGCACCTTTCTACAAACAAAAACACCGTTTCTATGAAATCATTGTTTCTCTAATTTATTTATTGTAGCATTAGAGGTAACAATGCATGAACATACTGATACAGTCAACCATTTTCAGACATTTAAGATCAAATGTCAAGGTATAATTAATTAGGAAGAGACTGCTTGCTGTGAATTCACTGTCACTTTCATTTAGTTGCCAAAGGAAAGGTTTCAAGTGATCTTAAAAGCAATTTAGATATAATATGCAGTTTAACTGAATTTTGAGCCATTCATTAAAACAAAATATGGCAATATAAGTCATAACTACAATGGTGAGTTACAAGTTAATTTATTTAAGAAAATTTAGGCAAAATAATACATTGTAGATTGTATTCAAAATCACGAAGGTCTTCAACAATTATACTTCACAAATCTGTTAAGAATAATTCTACAGAAATAAGTGCAAATAAAATGGTGACAGACAGTTGGAATGACACCTTCTAAACAACTTCTAAAGGATCACTAGTTTCCTGACTTTAACAATAAAAGGGAATATACAACCATTGGTATATATAGACTAATTAGACAGCTATATTTACTAATTTCTTTTTCATAATCCTGTGTGAATTTCAAGGGCATACTTAGTCATAAAAATACATGAAGCAATATATAGCATACAATTATTAAAGAAACAAATGATTTTGTACCAGAAAACATGGTATGATTATATTCCAAATCTCAGCAGCTGATTATTCCTGATTTCAAATCAAGCATTAGTCTTTTTTAGGAGCCACATTGATTTCAAAAGTTTTGGGTATATGTGTGAAATTCAACTAAGAATAAATAAATAAAAATCCAAGTTTTAATAGTTATTTAAATGATGCATACAGACCTGAAAAAGCCATTATAATGAAAAAGCCATTATAGTGAAGCCATTATACTGAAAGCCATTATGGTGAAACAAAATGGTAGAATAAAATACTATAAAATATATTGGTCCGAATACTTATGTGAAATTAGTTCTACCAAGATATTCAAAGTTAAGTATGAACTGAACAGAAGATATTTTAGGAATAAAGTGCATCTTCTCAATAACCTTACATGTCCAAATGTTTCTCAGCTCTATTATTTCAGGTGAATTTCTTTAAACTAGAAAAGAACAGAAAATTTTCCTATAAAAAGAACAGGGAATTTTCAATCTTCATTCTATTTCTATTTCTCTTTTTCTAGTTAATTCTATTCATCTTTTCCTTTATTTCTAGTCACTAGATTATGCTATAAAATTGAAAACAGATGAAAGAAAAGAAAAAGAAAGAAAAGTCTACAAGCCAGTCTAAAAACAAAACACTGTTCAATATCTTATCCTTACCCAACTTAAGTGTTCTAGATATTCAGAAAACATTCATCATGCTAGTCAAGACTCAAAAGTCCCATTGCAGAGAAACTCAAATTAAGAAAATCTAACATAAAATCACATGAATATGATTTTATGAAAATAAATATTAAGTTCTTATCATTTATATCATTCTACAAATCTTAAATTATTTAGAGGAAGAGAATGGAACATCTATGTGGATAAGCAACTCAAAAATATGTTGTAAATGTTATTGTACCATACCCAAGTACAAAATATAAATATTTTAGGGACTACAAAAAAGGTATAATCAAATTATTCACAGTCCTCCATATTTTTAAAAATCAGTACAAATGTAATGTATTAAAATCAAACTCTGTAGTATGTAAAATACTTCCATCCTTGGCTGATAAAATAAAAATCAAACAGAGGTAATCTTTCTATTAACAAATAAATAATTTAAACTTTTTCTGTTAGATAAAAAAGTTAACCAAACACCAATTATTAGGATAATTAAATTTTGAGGAATTAAATTTTGGGTACATTTCCAGCAGTTGGGTGATATATTTTATACATTTTGGTCAATTTTGCTGATGGAAGGTACCACCTATAAAACATTTTATATAGGTTTTCCTTATACAATGTGGCCAATGTTATTTTTTATTTCTCTCACATAAAATTTGCCATTTATCCAAATTAATACCATGCCCAAAGTTTTTAGCCCACACCAACATCGTTTCTTTTACCTGCTTCTCCTCCAATTAATAATCCAGTGAGAATCTGTATATTTTTCTTATCAATTTATCCTCTGATTCAAGTAGTATTTCATCTAGTGTCATGAGCTATTAATCACCCATTCTTTCATATTTTTTTCCATATCTTGATTGGACTTGCAGATAGACCCACCATTCCAGTTCCATCCCTTGTTCTTTTAGCTCTTGTCTTGATTTCAATTCTCCTGCTTCATTTGTAATATCTTTATATGTGATAATTTTTCCTTGACTAAAAAAGTTTGGGTGTACTAAAGCTTCAAGAGTGGATAGCCAAACTGGGGTTTCTATGTATATTTGTTGTTTGATTTTATTCGATACCAATAATAATGCCTATCTAATCTGATGTTGTTGAAAATATTGGTGAGCATCATGTCTGCCATACCATAAAAAGGCATGCCAGCCTAACTGTAGATTATATCCTTCTAACACTAATAATCTTTTTTTTTTAAGGTTATCCAATTCCCAAGTAAGTGTTGCTGCCTGGTAATATGTTTCCCAATCTGGTGAACTCTTTCTTTGGCATCTTGTAACAATTTTAGTTGAATCCTGGGTTTTTTCCTTTGCCATATAAAATTTAATGTTATTTTGTTCAAATCGCAAAATATATATATATATCTAATTTTATGGGTATGTTTTGAAAGAGGAAGAGTAATTTTGGCAGGACTTTAATCTTTATTATGGCTATTCTACCCATGAGAGATAACCTTAAGTTTCCCCATCTTTCCAGATCCTCTGTTATGTTTCATTAATGTGGCATAATTATCTTCCTTGATTGTTATGCATCTTGCTGATGCGTGAATAGATATTTTATTTTATTAATTATCTGAATGACCATTACCTTGGTCAATGTTTCTTTTGTTTGTTCGTCATATACTTAGTGATTATTTTAGTTTTCTCTTTGTTAATTTTCAATCCGGCGACATCTCCATATTCTTCTAGTAATTCTATGAGTTTTAGTCCCTATTGTTGTGGTTCTTCCAGGATAAAAACTAGGTCATTTGCAAAGGCTTTTAATTTAAATATTTTTTTCTTAATTTCTAGACCTTTTATTGATGTTTTTTTTCTAATTATCCTTGTTAGTACTTCTAGTGTTAGTATAAACAGAAGTGGAGATAGTGGGCAACCTTGCCTCGTACCTTTTTTAATTTTAAAATTTTTCGTTGTCTCTCCATTTATTATTATTTTGGTGTCCTGCTTGTTATATATAGTCGATATTATGTTTACAGATTTCTGACCAAAATCCATATATCTAGGTTGTTGTAGAATAAAATCCCATTTGATGTTATTGAATGCCTTTTGGGCATCCAGAAGCAGTAGTGCCATCTGCTCCCCGCTATGTACTTCATAAAATTCCATGGCATCTAAAATTACTCTTATATTATTTTTGAGTTGTCTTTTTGGTAGAAAGCCGTTTTGGTCGGCATGTATAAAATCATTTAGGAATTTTTAAAATTGATCAGCTACTATTGATGCAAAAATCTTATACTCTGTGTTTAAAAGAGATATTGGTCTATAATTTTTAATAAGTGTTTGGTCTGTATTTTCTTTGGGGATATTGTAATGGTTGCTTCTTTCCACGTTTGTGATATTTTCACCTCTTCTTGGACTGCATTGAATACTTTGAGTAATATATTTCCAAAAATTTCTTGTTGATCTTTGTACAACTCTGCCAGAGTCCATCTGGGCCTGGTGTCTTGTTGTTGGTTTTGTTTATTTATCGTCACAATTACTTCTGACAATCTTATCTCTATGTTTAACATATTTTTTGTTTCTACCGTTATTTTCAGTAATTCTGCATCCTTTAGATATCACCTTTTCTTCTATGGTGTGGCTGTCTTCATTGCATAATTTCTCATAGAACCCCTGGATTCTATTTTTTTTCCTCCTCCGCATATCTTCCCTTGTTCATTCTGTAGTTTGGTGATCCAACTTTTTTTCTCTCTGTTTCCTCAATTTATAGGCTAACCATCTTCCCGTTTATTGGCATTCTCGAATAAGTTTTATTTTGTCTTTTTTAGTTGTCGCACTAGTTCTTCTTTCTCAAGCAGGTTAATTTTATGTTTAATTAGGTCCATTTGTTATTTTACATTTTTTTTTTTGTGGTTCTTCCTTGAGTTTTGTTTCTTTTATACTCTCCTTCTAGGATTCTCTGTTGCTGCTTTTTTTCTTTCTTTCTTTTTGCCATGTATGTTATGGCCACCCCTCTCATGTAAACCTTTGCTGTGTCACAAGGAATTTGTAGGGATGTGTCTTCTTTCTTATTTTCTTTGAAAAAGAACCCCAATTCTTTCTCCATTTTAGACCTAAAGTCATTCTCTTTTAAAATTGATCTTTGCAGAGTCTATCTTGGATTTTTATTTCATAATTTCCAGCTAAATCTCATATGATTGTGATCTGCCCATAGGTTTGTTTCTATTTTTACTTCCTTTACTTCTGAATTAATTACCTTCAACATCCACACCATGTTGATTCTCGACCATGATTGTTGTCTGTTTCAGTAAAAGGTGTATTGCTTTTTTTCTTGATTCCTTTCTCTCCAGATGTCTTGGATGTTTAAATTTTCAGCTATTTAAAAGAAGGTTTTAGGTAATATTCTTCTTTTCCCTATTCTTGTGTTGTTTTTGTAGTCTAATGTTTTATCAATGATTGCATTAAAGTCACCTAGAACACAAATCTTGTCATACTCTATATCTTGAATTATATTATGTAAATTTCTAAAAAATTGTTCCTGGCTCCCATTTGTGGAAAAAATTTCTACTATTAAAATTTCTACTATTAATATTAATATTATAAAATTTCTACTATTAATATTATAATTTATTTCTATTTCTACCATCAAAATTCTGTTCAAGAAATAGAGCTAGAGGCAAGTAAGTGTCTGGGCAGATCACCATCCAGTGAGAGTCAAGTGGAAAGGACAAAAGAGATGGACATTAAACCAGTCAATACTAGATAGGAATTTATACAAACTATGGAATGAGAAATGGACTTTTTAAAAAAGAAAATAGGAAAGAAGAAATCTCACTACAAAATGTGTGGGATACTGCCAAGGTGTATATTTGGGGATTAGCTATAACCTATAGCAGGAAAAAAATAAGAAAAAGAAAACAAACCAAAAGACATTAGAAGAAGAAAACATGAAAGATTGGAATTAGAACTACAGAAAGAACCACCAAAAAAAAGACTTTAAAAAATCAAATGGAATTAACAAAACACAAACTGAATTTGCTACATAACGAATTGACTCAAAAAATTAAAAATGCAAAACATTTTTTTTGAAAATGCGAATAAACCTTGAATACAAATTGAAAATAGAGAAAGAAAAGAAATCGATACATGGATTAGTAGATGAGAAAGGAACACTATATCATCAAAACAAGGCTATTATGAAAAACTGTATGGGCAGATTTCTGGCTGTGCTTCTAGTGGCACTGGAGGCAATGACCATGAGCTCTGTGGCCCTGCTCCAAACTCTCCCTGTTGGAGGGCTCCAAAAGAAGCCATAGCCACCCTGTAGGGAAAGGGGGCATCTTGCAGGTTGAGGAGAGCCGCATCTCTCCTCCGTGACTTGGAAAATCCCCCTCATCCAAAGACAAGGACCAGTGGCAGTCAGATAACATGGCTGCCATCAAACCAGGGATAGTTCAGAACACCTAAGAAAGTGCAGGAGCAAATAGAGCAGTGAATAGAGATTGTTGCTGATTCTTCTTTTACTTAAAAACCAACCCCAAGGAATAAAAAAAATCTATGATAAGAGACTCTTATAACACAATTGTTTAGGCTGCGAAAATAAGCACTTCAGAGATTTTTGTTGAAAAGCAAGTCAAGAGTACCATCTACTAATGAAAGGAAAAGAGACTCTTAGACTCCTGGAGAGTTACAGGGGAGGTAAAGGAATTTGATATCCCATGGAGGGCTGTGACTTTTAACTCTTTATTGTCTCACAACAATTATTGTTTCTTATTTCCAGAGGTGGAAATAAGAAAGTCATTTTACAAAAGAAGCTCTGGGAAATCAGAATAAAAGACTAAAATTACAGAGCTGACTTAAAGAACTTGGAAAATAATTTGGACTATTATAATATGGAGTAAATGTTGGAACTGGTTCATTTAAATAACTGACTGCTTTGTAAGAAATGGATCTTGATTGAAATTAATATCTGCTAGAAAAAAGGCAGCATGAAAATTTGGGAGGAGAGTGCCATCTATTAATTATTAGAACACAGAGCATACTCCTAACAACCAGATTTCTTTTGAAATATTTGAAATTTGGTGGTTGTGATCTTTAACTGGTAAGCTTTATGCTTACCAGAGGCGAAAATTTTATAAGAGAGATGCTGGGAAGCTAGAATAAAAGACTAAAACTACAGAGTAGACTTAAATAACTTGTAAAATAACTTGGACTATCAGAATATTGAGTAAATGCTGGCATTGGCTCATTTAAACAATTGACCTTGTTTTGAAAGAAATTGAGATTTAAGTGAAAAAGACATTTTATAAGAGAATCTGGGAAACTGGAATAAAAGACTAAAATCACAGAGCAGATTTAAAGATCTTGAGAAATACTTTGGACTATCAGAGTATTGAGCTGGACTTGGCTTATTTAAATAATTGATTTTGTTTGGAAAGAAATGGAAATTGAGTGAAATAAACATCTGTTGGAAAAAAGGAAGCATGGAAATTTGAGAGGATAGGGGCAGATAAATGGTTCCAGAGACATAAAGATGACCTATTGATGAAGGAAGGCTTGGCATGGAAGGAGAGTAAAATGTACATCCCAGCCAGCCAGAGAACTTTGGTCCTACAGAGGAGCCACAATGGAAAATCTACAGGGTATTTTGGGTTTTTGAAGACCTTTCACCTGGTGAAGAGACAATTCTGGCAGCCAAAGATGGAAAAAGACATAGATGCCTATATGGCCAGCTGTCCTGTTTGTGTGTCCATGAAATGCCTATCTGAGAAGCCTCCAGACTTGCTACAGTTGGCAGCAAACCCAGCTAGCTCATGGGAGGAGATATCCATGGACTTCATTGTGGAGCTGCTTGAGAGGGCAGGGAACATAGTAATCTGGACTGTCATCAACCTGTTCTTGAAGCAGGCACACTTGTGGCATGTCTGAAGATTCCTGTCAACCATGAAGTTGGCTGAACTGTGACCATTTTATTTTGTAGTTTTTCTCTAGAGAGTTTCTTCTCACTGCTTCAGGGATGACACAGCCTGGAGCAAAGGGGCCAGGGAGGGGGGTAGAGATAGCTGGGGTGCTGCAGCCAAAATAAAATTGTTTCCCCTGGAATCAAGGATATTGGTGCAGGTGTTTGAAAGATAGTAACTGAGGTCACCTAGCAACTGGACTACATGCTGTTTGGATCATGTGATTGGTGACTCTGGGGGGAAATGACAAAGTTTTACTTTTAATTGAGTGTTAAAACTGGCAGGAACTTAGAGCTGATTTTTCACCAAGAAAATGCCAATTTGATATCTTCCAACAAAATGTTATTTGAGGAATATGCCTGCCTCAGAGTTCTTATTGAATGGGATATATAACTTGGAACCTTTACCATTTCTTCTAGCTGGACCCTAGCCAAGATATTCGTGCAGCACGTGTACAGACTATACAGAGTCCCAAAGTGTATTATCTCAGATAAGTGAGTGCAGTTAACTGCAAAATTGTGGTAGGAATTTTTAAAATTGATAGGTTCCTTCTAGAGACTTAGCTCCACCTACCATCCAACTACAAAAGGGCTGCTGAATAATATAAATTATCAGCAGACTAATTAGGTCAATCTCCTGCCTTTCACAGAAGTGACATATAACAACAGGGCACACAGCAGCACAGGTTTTACCCTTTCAAAGTGGCCACAGGGAATGTAGCACAGTTCATACCCATACAAGATATCTCACAGGAAGCTCCATCTTCAGTGTCATTAGTTGATTGGATGGATACTCTAAAAGCCATATGGTCCACCATGCATGAAGCACTAAATAAAGTTAGGGAAAGCCCAAAAAAAGGCAAGCAGATCAGAAAAGCCCCCCCAAAGGGAATTGACAGTGAGGTAAAGTATATTTGTCCACTAAGTATCTAAAGCTGAGTCAGCCTTGTAAAAAGTTAAGTCCCAAATATGTAGGACCTTTCCTAATCATCCGGATCATGAATCTAGTGACAGTGGAGCTGAAATTGCCAAGAAGCTTCAGGCAAGTTCATCTGATATTTCACTGCAGCCTTTTAAAATCCTTTTGGGGATCTGGCTTGAGCCCAGTCAAAGAACCATCCCCTCCTCCCATCCTAGTAAAGGGAGAGGAGCACTATGAGATCCAAAAGATCCTCAATTCCAGATATTACAAGGAAATATTACAACAACTAGTACTGTGGAAAGGCTACCTATTAGTAGACGGAGTGGATGGTTCCTCCCAAAATGAAAGTTTCATTTTTTTCCCCACCTCAAACACAAAGTCCAGAAGCAATCCCCACAATGGATGAATGGCTACAAAAACTGATGGAGTTAGCAGAGATGGCTAAATTGACTCCTTTAATTAAAGAAAAAAAGTACAAATACCATTATTTCTACTTGGAAACCACTTCTGGAATTTGTGCTTGAGATGGAAAAAATGAAAGTTTGATTTTGGGTTTTATCAATTAGAATTATCAAAATGGATGGTTTATATTATTCTATAAAAGTAAAAAGTTGCGGTTAGATGTTAATGTCTTATTTTATTGCACCAAAGGAGTTGGAAGTTAAATGTCTTTTTTCCTTTTTTTTTCTTTCTTTTCCTTTCCTCCACTATCCACTTCCTTTTTCTCTTCCCTAATTCTCCTATTATTTACTTTTGTATTCTCTTTGTATGCCATGTTAGAAAATATAAAAATGGAAATGTTTAAGAAGTTTCACACTAGGTACCCTCAATGGCCCCAATAAGGAATGCAGCAGTAGTTAGGATGTAAGTAATAATGTGTATGTGTGGTTATTGTTGTTTCGGGTCTACCCTTCTTCGGAGGGTGGGGGGTTATGGTAAGACTGACACAAACATTCACCTGTTTTCCACTTCGCTGGCAGCTTGGGGGTGGTGAATTGGAATGCAAGAGTGGGGAGGAATGGCATCCAAGCATTGTGGGTTCCCATGAGATATTGCTCTCCCCCTCAAGGACACCCAGAGCAGATGTCACAGTGTGGCTGGCTGGTTCTCATAACAAAATAAACAGAAGTGATTGGTTGATGTAATGGACTGTGGGTGGCCTGTGGGGAAAGGGGAATGAAATATGGTGCTTTTGCACAGGAAGCCAGAGCTGGTTTCACTTCTGTGCCAATGTGGATTTATTCAGTAAAGTTTATACTTTTGGTAAAATAATGTCCCAGGAAAAAGGGGAGAATTTACTGTTTTTGATTTTCTTTCAGCATCCAGCCAGTGTGTAAATGTTAAATTCAATAACCAGATTCAGTATAGGAGGAAAAGAACTTCATATGTTTAACTTTTAAAACATGGAACAAAAACACAAAAAAATCTAATTTAAACATGAAAAATCCCAGAGTGTTTTAAGTTAGAGAAGCTAAAATCATAATACAATCATATATATGCATTACTTAAGCTAAATGACCATGTCTACCTAAACTTGGAAAAAGGATTTCAAGAAAAAAAACATACCTTGAAAAAACCATGAGCGCTGTTCCTTTGTCCCAACCAAAATGTAGTGCCAACTGGTAAATCCATATATGGTTTTTCCACCACTCTCTCATATATTCTGATTTTAAAAAAGAAATTAGGAGTAAAATAATTTTTAGAAGAAGTCCTGTTCTTTTAATTCATATAAGTTACTGGAACAAAATGTAACTTTTAACTTACTTATTGCAGTCTACATGCAAAATCAAATGTGATGCACTGATTGCTAAGGACAGCCTGTGCCATTTGTCATCTGCCAAAACGTAAGGAAATTTTTCTGTGTGTGAACGATGGTTTCCTGAACGATAGTGCAATCTAATTTCATTTCTATGGCCGCTGCTTTCTAGTTCCAAGTACCTGCATCAGAAATGGGCCAGAAAGTTATGAAGTAATTTAACACCAAATAAATAGATAACATATTTCTTTGCATACAAACTAAACATGAACACTTATTCATAAGAAGTAAATGCTGCATAGTTAGATTTTCTCCTAAATTGTTTCAGTAGGACAAAGAACAACTCAAATTTAAAGTTATATCAAAAATTAAACATATACAGGTAGTCCTTGACTTACAACCATCATTGAGCCCAACATTTCTGTTGTTAAATAAGACATTTGTTAAGTGAATTTTGCCCCATTTTATGATCTTTCTTGCCATCTTTGTTAAGTGAATCACTGCAGTCAGTACGTTAGTAGTCTGTTAAGTGAAACTGACTTCCCACGTTTACTTTGCTTGTCAGAAAGTCACAAAAGGTGATCACATGACCCTGGGAAATCGCAACAGTCATAAACAAGAGCCAAGCATCTGAATTTTGATCATATGATCATGGGGATGCTGCAAAGGTTATAACTTTGAAGGACAGTCATAAGTCACATTTTTCAGTGCTGTAGTAACTTTGAATGGTCACTTAAGAGATCTTTCTCAAATGTCCTCAGGTCTTCTTTAGTTTTCTACTTTTTCTGTAGGTAGACTTCTACAACTTTGGGGAATGATCAAAATTAAAAGCCCTGTTTTAACTACGCTCAGAGTCCTCATTAAATGTATTAGAAATAAATCTTTGCTTCAATAAAGCTTGATATGCATAGGATCACTGCCCAAGTTAGTGTCCGTCATATATTTCAGATTTATTTTAGGTTTATTCCAAGTTGGCAGAATTAGACTTCTTGGAGTTGAGCTCAACTAGAAATTATCCTAGCCAAGCATTTTTTTTTGCCTTTGCTTTATTCCAAAAATATTTTTTCAATGCTTAATCCACTTTTTTCCAAGGTGTCCCTTATTAAGTATGAAGTAGGTTTGATCCTATTTTTATGTCACTTTGAATATACCATGAATAAATGTCAAGAAATGTATATTTTTCTGCATACCTGTGATCTAAATGATGAACAGAAAAAATAACACCTGAATTTAAGAGAGTTTGTTTGAGAGATACCAACATGGTAAATTCATGTTTATTTCTCAGTTTCTGAAAAAAAAGTTCAGCTTTCTCTGGAGATACTTTTATATTTCTTGCAGCTCCTGAAATAAAGCAAAAAAAAAAAAACCAACAACAAATTATTCTCATTCATAAGCAAATTAGGCATAGAGCCATCTTTACAGTTTATTATGATAAAAAAATTGATTGGTCAAATACAACTTTCAGACCTATTTCATTATGTATTTTAGTATGGAATCAAGTATTCATCCTCATCACTGAAATGATATTTTTAAAAATTATGTTTAAAACATTTATAGTTTTTTTACATATCAATATGTTGTTTTACAATTCTGAGCACAAAAATTATTCCATTGATTAGAATCATGTCTTTCTAGAAATTTTCACCAAGAAGGGAAAATTAAATTTTAATTCAGTTTAGGATCTTTAAACTCTTTGCTTTTCTAAAAATATTGTATTAATATTTAAATTACATTAAATTTTCTTAATATTTTGATTCATAATTCCTTATTTTGTTACATAATATCAGTGTGAATAAATTATGGAGAAATTCAAATGCAACCACTTCAGTATTCTAAAATTATAAAATATTACACATTTCTATTCTTTAAAATGTACACCAAAATCTAAAAAGATAAACAGCTTGTTCACCAAAGTTGGCAAAGGACAAAGGAAAAATACTCAGGAAAACATGTACCTTGCCCAAAGGCTAAAACACAATGCAGCTGTTTACAAAATACCATGGCATTTACTCTTCGCAAGAAACAAACAATAAAATTCACAATGCTCAGTGATAAAAATTGGGAAATATATTTTTTTTACCATTACAAAGTAACTTTAACAAAATGTTTAAATAATTCTAGTTATTATTCTGAGCACACAGGAAGATCTCCAACTGCTTATGTATCCTTTTCATGTAATATAGCTTCAAAGAGACTTTAGATTATCCTTTTGTCTCTATTCAAAAATTTAAACAGCCATGATGACCCATGAGAATATTGTTTACTTGTTATATATTACTATAATCATGTTAATAAATCTCTCCCCCAAATCCATAAATTTTAGTTGTAACAGCATAAATTGCCAGTTTACATTGTCAAATGCTTTCGGCATATCCAGAAAAATCAATACCATTTGTTTTCCAGGATGTGCTTCATAATATTCCAATGTACTCAGAATCATTCTCATGTTGTTTTTAATCTGTCTCTTAGGCAACAAGCCATTTTGATCTGAAGGAATAAATTCATTCAAAAATCTTTTCAGTCTCTCTGCTATTATTGAAGCATATATTTTATAATCAGCATTTAGTAAAGATATAAGTCTATAATTTTTTATCTGCATTAAATCTGAATCTTCTTTTGGAATAAGAGTAATGTTTGCTTCCATCTACTAATTTGGTACCTTCACTTTAAATAATACTTCATTATAAACTTTCAGCATTGATGGGTCCAAAATATCTTGTAAATGTTTATAAAATTCTGCTGGCAGCTGATCTGGTCCTGGTGTTTTATTATTCTTTTGCTTCTTAATTGCTTCTGACAGTTCCATCATTGATTCATTTAACACAGTTTTCATTATTTTAGGTGGATCTGCTTTTTCCAAATATTGTTTAATTCTCTCTTCTGGAATTTTCACCTGCTCATACAGTTTTTTTTTTAAGGTATATTTTTAATTATTTTTTCCAATATACATCGATATTGTGTGTGAACCTAGTTGGTTCTGGGTATCATTCATATTAATCCAGTTCATCATCATAATATTAGTAATCTCTATCACATTTGTCAAATTTAAGTAATCCTCATTATATTGTTTAAGTATACATCAACTAAATAAAAAAACCCTAACTCTTCATCTTTATCTGTCTTCATCTATGTCTTTCTTGTTCAGTCTAAACATTTCCTTATATATGTAAACAAAATTAATTCTAAGTATCATTCCTATTGATCCAATTCACACTAACAATATTAGTAATCTCTATTACATTTATCAAATTTTAAGTAATTCTCATTATATTATTTGAAAAATACAAAAAGGAAATGCCTTACATCTGTAAACTTCTAGTCTTTCTATCCGTTATTTTTATTCATTCTCCAAAAATGTATATTTTAATATTTCCCTTAATTTTATTTCTGCTTCCTTTAGCTTACAATCAGGCTACTTAAAAGGCAATTCTTTTTATCCATCATTTCTTCTCCTCCTTGGTGCTTCATTTCTTATCCATTTTTAAATTCACCTCCCACACTCCTCATATTTATCTTCATCTGTGTCTTTCTTATTTAATCTAGACATTTCTTCCAATACAATCTTATGGTGCCAATTCTCCCAAATATCTGTCCATGTCCCAATCTCCTTATCAAAAGTATATTCCGGGCTCTCCAATTGTTGATTTATCTGTTTTATTTTCTTGTCTTTTTTCCTTTATCAGCTGATTTGTCAGTCCTATTTTTTGCTCCAGTCCTTGGTTTATTTGTTGATGTGACCAATTAATCTGTTCCTTCCTTCCTCTTGCTTGCCATTTATCTGGTCTTCCTCTTCATTGAGCTGTTACTTCATTTGCTGGTTTTGCTGATCCATATTCTTTCCCTGTTCGTGTTTCATTTACTGGCTTAAGTAGTCCATTTCATCCCATCTTTCTGTTGATTCCATCAATTCATGGGCAGTTTGTTCTTCATTCATTGTACTTGCAAGATATTTTCCCTTTTCTCATCCCTCCTATCGATCAGATCCATAATATTTCAGAACAACAAAAATATCTCATTGAAAAGTCCTCTCGTTTCCACAGCTGTTCCTTCAACTCCCATCATAGCAGCAATAAAAATGGAATAAACGATCATGCCTCAATCTGATTCAGAGAGACCAACATTATAGGAGTATGGTTTATTTTCCAATTATTAGTAGATGGGTCTCTTCTCTCAAATTTCCAACAGATGTTTCTTTCACTCAGTTTCCATTTCTTTCCAAACATAATCAGTTATTTAAATAAGCCAAATCCAGCATTTACTCAATACTCTGATGATAGTCCAAAGTATTTTTCAAGATCTTTAAATCTGCTCTGTGATTTTAGTCTTTTATTTCAGCTTCCCAGCTTCTCCTATAAAATGTCTTTTTCACTTAAATCTCCATTTCTTTCAAAACATCAATTTTTTAAATGAGCCAATTCCAGCATTTACTCAATATTCTGGTAGTCCAAGGTATTTTCCAAATTATTTAAGTCTACTCTGTGGTTTTAGTCTTTTATTCTAGCTTTCCAGCTATAAAATTTCTTTTGGTTATCATTTGGGGCATAAATTATTACTAATAATACTTGTTTTTGTTGTATTCTAACTTCTATCATTAAAGTTCTTCCGTTGTCATCAGAGTAAATTTGTTTTGATTTTATCTTTTCTTTGATATGTACAGCTATCCCATTTTTTTCCTGGTCTGCCAATGAGGTATATAATTTCCCTAATTTTGTTTGTTCCAAGTAGTTCTTATGTTGTTTCTTAATATGTACTTCTTGGAGACATATTATATCTGCCTTTTGTTTCTGTAATTTGTAAAATTTGTTTCCTTTTTATTGGGGAATTTAATCCATTAATGTTCATAGTTATTAGTTTAATATCTTCTTCCATTTTATTGTCTATACAGTTGTTTCTTGTTCTTATCCCTTCTTTTTCACGCTGTTCTATTTCCTCTTTGTTTCTCTCTTCTTGTTCCTATTCTTTTTCCTCAGATTGTGGCTCCTCTTGGCTTCTGCTTTCTAATTCTTCTTTGCTACTAAATTCCTCTTCTACTATCATAAGTTGGACTCCTGTGCCTTGTCTAAATTGTTGATTCTTATTTTCTTCTCCTGCCATGTTAACATTCCTTCTGGTGTGAACCACCTGAATAGTATGTTGTATTTTATCAATTGCATTGCCAGGAAACAGTAGTCTCTTCTCTATTCTCTCACTTGTCTTAGTATCTGTTTCAGTGTCAGATTTTTTTTCCTTTTATGTCATTGGTTCGTCTCTTGTTATTTTATAGATTTCACCTCTTATTTTTTTTCTTTGCGAATCTGATGTGAACTTCTCTCAGTAACTTATGACGCCTAGCATAGTTTGTGTGCATCCTGTATATCTCATCTATTTCATTTTGAATTGCTTGATTATCCCTTCATGTAGCTTCTGCTATCAGTTCTGACATAATTATTCTCAAATCTTCTTTGTTTTCCATTACATTTTGAAAACGTAGGTAGAAGGCCACTTGTTTCATTTCCAAATATATAATAGATTCCTCTAAGCCCTTGTTTATTGCCATTAGTTTGATCTACTGATTTCAGTTTCTTTTCTGTCTGCTCTGTTCTGTTTTCCACCATTTTTATTTTTTGTTCATTTTTTTCAATTGTCTGCTGAATTATACCTATTTTGTTGTCCAATTTATGTATGTTGCCTTTCATTTCCCCCATCTCACTCTTCATCTCGTTATTTTTGGTCATTGATTCTTGAATTCAGGACACAGAGCTCCACTCACTCTTCTCCGCACCATCGTGATGTCACTATCAGAAGTCCCAAATAAAGCCAAAACTATTACAGAATAGTAGAAGTAGAGGTGGCTTCAGACTCCCTGATTGGGAATAATACTATCATGCAGCAGCACTCGCATGGATTAAAGAGTGGATATCTCTAAAGAACAAGATAATACCAACTCTAGAAGGACATGACCTACAAATAGGATGGCATGCCTTTTTGTGGAAGAAAAAGAACAAAACAGATTCACGCTTCCAAAACCATTTTATCAGGAATGCATTATTACAAGTCTGGGGTAAAATAAAATAAAAACATTATAAAATACCTGATTTGCTTTCAACAATGAAAGCAATGATTTATCCAAATACATTAGACCTAAACAAAATGATAAGATATAACCAATTGCTGGATAACCAAGGAAGACTGAAAACGAACCAAGAATTCAGAGAAGAGGGAATAATTATAGATTGGTGGCCCTATCTACAATTGCAGACAAGATACAAAAAAGATCTGGAGGAATTTGGGATAGATAGAGAACAACAATAAATCGACAAAATTTTACTAGGACCAGAAGAAAAATTTACAACTAAAATGTA